GGCTGTGCGGCCACTCTCAGGCTAGACCAATGGTTCCCAGCCTTGACTGTAGTTTAGAACTGCCTGGAAGCTTTTAGAAACCCAAATGCCCAAGGCCACACCTTGGGCCAATTTGTGGACGTCTCTGGGGGTGAAGTGTAGGCCTCTGGGACTTTTCGCAGCACTGGTTCATCACACTGGGCAGCCAGGTTTGATAACCATTGTGGTATCCAGTTCTAGCCCTGCTTCCATAAAACAATTCAAAGTTCATTCCCGCCGGATGGAGCCTTCCAAGGGCCTCTGAAGAGACCAAGGGCATCATGTTCTTGGAGGCAGGGAGTGGAAGCACAAGGAAGGCTTTTACTTTGCCTTTGCTTTGTCCTTGGCAAGAGATGAAACCAGGACCACAACTGGTCCTAGATCTAGGCGTGACCTGTTTTTTTCCATATGCTCTTTTCTTCCTACCATGAAAGGGTGGATGACACCCCCTTCTCAGGATAGGATCTGAGAGTGACTTTACTTCTTTAATTCTGCTTCCGGAATTCCTCTCTTACTGCAAAATTGAAGATATTGTTCCCTTAAAAAAACAAAAACAAAACAAAACAAAACAAAAAACACCTCCCTCCCACGCCCAGCAGATGAAGGGCCTGGGGAGGGATGTCAGGGGCGTGGGGCCCTTTCTGCTCCCTATAATCTCGGACTTCCTGCGGCCACCTGCCTGGAAGTTATTCAGGATCTTAGACCTGGACTTCCCTCACTCAATTGCTTCCCTGTGAACAGCCACACTCCTTCAACAGGCTCGCCCCAGGTGGACCCCGGGTTCCCAAAGAGCTGAGAAGAAAACACTTCCTGATTCAAAGCTGAGCTCGATAATGGAAATTTTGTCATTTCCAATAGCCCTTGTCCTCATGCCGAATAATAACACAGTTTGGTGGTGATTGTTAGAAATAGCTTCAGCCTCTAGTCGGGAACGGTTATTGCTTTAGGAAGTGTGCGTGGGAGCACAGGGATCTTAAAGATGGGCCCCTCCCTCTCTTCCCCTCCCCCCTAGTCAGTCCACCTGCCCCTCACATTTCTGTAGCTGCTTTGACCTGTGCACTGGGCAGGGCGGGGGGCGTTTATGTCCCCTAGGCACTGGGGTGCGGCCAGCTCCAGGGCGCACATCTCAGTGGCCCAGCAGCTGCCCCCAGGTCTGACCCCCTGTAGGAGGTGAGACCTACGGAGGATACACTCGTGGAGATGCTGGAGGTGGTGGGCGAGAAACAGCTTTGTCTCGTCAATGTCAAAACGCAGACATAAAAATTTAATTGTGCCGTCGCCCCAAGGTGATCTTGTCTATAATGACGAAGGCTGGACCCTGCCAGAAACGCCGATGGCTGAAACAAGGGCTGACCAGCTGCGAGACAGGTACGTGCAAAGCCTGAAACTGGACTTGCTCCTGCGTCATTAGTGTCGCAGCCCCAGGAGGCCTTTCCTGGCAGCCCTGCGGTGCTCCGTCTCTCCCCTGATGCCCTGCATCCACTCCACGCGTTTCCCCCCTTGCTGTGTGTCGCCCCGCAAAGTTTCATCAGGACAGCCAGCTCCGGGGGGAGCGAATGGGTTTATGTTTCAGTGGATTGACCTCGGTGTCTTCCTAACGCAGCGCTCCAAGTGCATTCTCAGTATATATTTTGGAATGATTTTAAAAAAACAAACTAGGCAGTAAAAAAACAAACAAAACGAAACAACAGCCCTGGAGACTCTTCAGGCTTTGCTGGTTTTTCTTCCTTTCCCTTCCGTCCCATCCCTCCAATTTATGGGGGTCGGTTTAAGTTCAGCTCCCTGCTCGCTGTGAGCGATCAGCAAACTGCTTTGCGCAGCACGAGTCGCAGGGCTGCTGGGAGGGTGGCCTAAGCGCGCCTCGCTGCCCGCCCTGACCAAAGAGCCTTCCCTGAGAGCAGGTGGGGACACCGCAGACCTGCAGGATGAGCCCCTCCCTCCCAGGGGCCACCAGAGCACTGAGCCTCTAACATTTTTGTCATAATCGCTCACTTTGTGTACTTTTTGCTTGGTGTAATATTGGGCCAATTTGTTTTCTCTCTTCTGCACTCGATGCTCCACGCCCAGCCCACTATCTAGGTCCTACCTGCGCGTGTGAATGTGTTTGTCCTGGGGACACCTGAGACTCCCCAGAATGAAAGTCTGCAGCACAGGCTGGCCTTGGGGGAGGAAACAAAGCACCAATCCTCACCGGCTGCTCTTCCCCGACTCCCTGGACAAGTGAGTGTTTATGATATATTGGATCAACCAGCACAGAACAAGTGACTCACTTGCTAAAGGTCATGCCACATGGACTAAATTAGTCCCGGAACTGGACCCAGAGTCTGTGATTCACGTGTTGTATCATGTTCTGTCTGTGTCTTCCGTTGAGAGACACCTTTGGTCCTCAGACCAAAGCTATTAAAATGCGGAGCTCAGAGAGAATAATAGCTCACGAGCACCCGCTGTGTGCCAGGCAGTGTGCTTTGTGCTTTCCATATGTACCTTGTGAGTTAAGTATTAACTTCCCATTTTACAGATGAAGAAACTTGGAAGTTAAGGAAATTGCCCTAGGCCACCCAATTTGTTTGAGGTACGACCGGGATTAAAATCCAGATCTCCCAGGCTCCAAAACCCAATCTCACTGATAGGGTGAACAATGCTATCTTCTTGTAGGTACATCTGCCCAAAGACGGGGCATTCTTCAGTTTGGAATAACTACAGGAAGGATCAGTGTAGTTACTTATTAATAAATGAATGCATTTAATGTAAGACATATTCTTACATGAATCACATTCTTGAAAATGTCTAGCTTTGATTTACAATAATGTGGTACGCAAGGCCAAA